ATACCGCACAGCCACTAATCCACTCAATGCTTAAATCTTAAAGTTCAGTGTTTTCCTGTCTTGTCACTTGCAGAGCAATCCATGAACCTTCTCCCTAAAGAATGTTTCTTTAATGTAACAACAAATATCAAATCAATATGCTAATCAGCGGAGTACAATACTTCTTGTCAGTTTCAAGAGATTTCATATCATTTTCTCCCTCCTAAGGGGAAAAATATAAGAAAGGTTTTTGATCATTGGTTTCTCCCATTCAATTCCACATTTGCATAGAAATATATTAAAAACAATATGGACTGTGCATTTGTTTCCTTAACCATTCATTTCAGATTAAAATCTTCCCCTTGCCATTATTTCAAAATGCTATTGGAGAAACCAAACTATCAATGCTAAATATTACAAATATCAATATCAAGTATGCTGGATGGCTTAAAATTAGTACAAAATAAGGTAGTACAAAACTTGCTCATGGAATTTTTCTACCTCCTTAAATATTACAAATAGTGATTTCACAAGTACATAAAGAGAGCAGTATCAATTGGTCACCTGTATGTTCAAATCACATCAGACCACTCATTGCCACAGAGCTTTTTCATGTTCCCTAAAGTCAGCTCAAACTGAGCTTTCAAATGGAGACATCTGAGATACTGGGTTGAGTTATGCAACCCATATTGCTAATGAGAAGAGATATCAAAGTGTGTAAATGTATTTTCTATTACTATGGGAAAAGGTTGACAGTTGAATATGTCCTAGTATAATATAACAATATAGTATGCTATAGTAATATAATAAGTCAATACAAATATAACCCAAGCCAATGGAGATGAAATTGAGTATATGAAAATTGTCTGTGAGCAGTAATAGCCAATGTTGTTTGGCTGAAAGAAATAAGAAAAGATTTCAGTTCCTCTTTTACTATTCAGTCATGTATACTGCAGATTAATATCCCACATTTTCCCTTCCATCCACAGCACAACATGCATGCAATATAAATTGTCAATAATTCTCGGTATCACATACTCTTTTATCAAAGGAATGAACAAAAACAAAGGACCAAAATACCATAAAAATAAGCTGATTCACATGTTTATTTGTTATCAAATGGGAGCAATTCTCAGTGTAGTTTTCAATCTGACATTTCCAGTAACCAGAGGCTTCAGATAATTAGTCCAACCAACTAGCAGGACATAATGCTGCTTTCTCCCCGCCTTCTTTCCACATAGAAACCTCATTAAGCTTTCACAAGATGTGGCAGATGAATGGCATGGTCAATAGGCTGATGTTACACTGGAAAAATGCTTTTATCTAACATTTTCAGTGTATGAATATAAATATGGGGCAGAGATGCCTAAATTAAGCTCATTGGAATCCCATTGATTTGGGCATAAAGTCTCAACATTTTATGTCAAATCATCTTTATTAGTTATCTCCAAACTAGAAGTTGCATTTTGATAAAGGGGATGAGTTTGTACTGCTGGCCTTGATCCAACTCCCTATTAAGTAGTTTCCATTCAAGGTGCAACTGGATGCAGGATAACATGGAGCAGCACCCCTACACACTGAACAGAGTGTCACCCTCCAATATTTCACAGATGAAATCCATATGCATGTGACAAACAACATCAGAGTATGGGCATGATGAAGAATACACAAGTTAACCAACTACTTCATCACATGACTGCTGAAAGTGTCCCACGTTGCTCCGCTTTGATGCAGGGTGTAGGGAAGCTACCACCCCATGCCCCACATAGCTGGGCTCTTCCACCAGCTGATCTCATGGGGTAAAGCATGGTGAACACATGGAATGTGTGAGTTCCCCCATTACAGTGAATAGCAACACAGGAAGCCTCCCGTATTCCCACGGTGGCATGTGAGTTCCACCTTCCTTCACCCACGGAGCCAGCATGATGTCATCTGATGGGAGCCAGATACATGGGTGACCAGGGCTAGGTTGTGTATGCCACTGATTTTAGCCCCATATGATGATGTCATAGGTATGTCATACTTTTGCAGCTCCCTGAGTCTACTAGGAAAGATAAGATTGTATCCTCTTCTCTGCTCTTTCCCTCTGCTGAGTTAATTAGATGCAAACTACTTTTGCAATTTGGACTCTGTTTGCAGCAATGTAAGTAAGTTGAGGGCAAAGAGAAAAAGTAGAAGACAAAAACTGGACATTTTAAGAGCATCTGGAAAAAGGATCAATCAAGACTGTCCATGGAACAGTGGGGACTTGGAGGATATGTGGCACTCCTTTACAAAGATCCATATTATATTATGCACATATTGGAAATTATGGCACTTTCCAGTCCCTCCATGTCATTGTAGGTCTTCTACACTCAAATTTTGTGAAGACACATTTATTTTGTCCCTTTCATGCCAATAACTCTGAGTAGATAACACTTAAATGTCCTACCATTTCTGCAAAGAAAACAATAATTACATTTTATTGGAAATGTTATTTCTAAGATGGGGAAGGTGAATCAAAAATAAAGATGCAATGTTTTCTGGTGTGTCATTCCCCCCCCCCCAATAACTATTGAATAGACGAGTACTTTCAACAACTTTCATAGCACTCAAGATTAACATCCTATTCATATTCTAAGCATATTATCACAGAGACTCAATAGAGATATACAGCTACTGTCTTAATTTTTGTGTCATTGATATTTCAAGGTAGTAATCGTAAAAGTTTGTAACAGGCACAGGTTGTGCAAAGGGAGGGGAGTTGGCAAAATGCCTAGACTGTACTGTTCAGTGGGACACAGAAGATGTAAGAGCACCATGTACAAACTTTCCTACAACATACAACACTTGAAATATGAAATATGGAAATGATTAGTAGCTCATAATAGACCTAGCAAACTGTAATGTGAAGTGAAGAGTGGCTGAAAAGTCCATGTCACAGACATTAGGCAAAAATCCTTTTTCTTTCTAACAAGGCAAAGCAACACCCAAACTATTGATTCATTTCCCTATTCAGATCAGTGGAGTAAAAGAGATTTAGCAAGATTATGCAATGATACTATTGGGTGAAATTGGTTTGAAACTTACCAAGGCTGCAAGAGATTCCTAGATTGATGTGGTCTTGCACCAAAGGTAATATTCTTATACTGTACATACCATCATAACGCACCAATCAAACAACCAAAATATAAACATATATTTTCAAGAAACAGACACGTCTTCGGGTTCTCATGTCTCCTCTCCCACCCCATTCTGTGTTTTGGCCACACAGTAGCCTATCCATGTCACAGGGAAAAATGTTGCTGAACTCCTGTATCAATATTCAACTCTATTTGTATTCAGACCTATACATCACTGCAGTTGGCCCTGAATCAAGCTTCCCTAGAATGTCACTATCTGGTGGCACTATGCTCGAGGCTGCCTCTGACAAATTCAATTTACATTTTGTAGGCACTGAGAACAGAATCATACCTCAGAAGGTGGCTTGAGGTCATCTTCCCTTCTCCAGCGCCTGCCTTTGACTGTTCTTCCATGCTGCTCCCTTAATCCTGGAAAGCCTCTCAGTATCCCTATCTGATACTGCCCCCTTCCCAGCTCTGAATTTCTCTGCACCAGGCATTTTCATCTGTGAGGCGTTTTTCCAATCCCATATAATATATATCCTCATCAAAGCTGCCAGATACTACCAGTTAACCCTTGCTTTGGACTTGGCAGTTCTGGTCTCTCCTTTTGCATGACACAGAGTTTGGAAAGCCATTGGCAAAAGGATGTACCACTTAGACATTTTGTACAATATCTTGCACAATAGTAGTGCAACAAGTCATCACATACAATTACAATAATTATATTATTTCTATGCAATACATCCAAACTTTTCCTTAACCAGTTTTAAATCTGGAATTCTGAATCTATCCTGCTTTCATGTTTTTTTGTTTCTTACCTTGAGTTTCATGAAATATTTTACTACACAAAACGTACCTACCTCCCAGCACCACAGTGCATCAACACTAAACACATAGATTTGTACCACTCAGACATACTTTAAAGTATATAGATGACATTCAACAGAAAAGAGGAGAAGGTAGAAAGGAAGAAAAGCATGTAATACCTTTACTTTTACCTATGGATTTGGTGAAATGGTTCCATGAAGAAAGCATTGTCAGACAAAAGAGAGAAGAAAGAAGAGAAACAACAGTAAGAGTTGTGTGTGTTCAAATGCAAATGTTATCTCCAGAATATGAGAAGAGACAAAGCATGAAGTGAAACATTGAAGACAAATGGAGATGCAACTGGGATTGCAGTTTGAGGACTGTTGCTTTCCAATCTTCAGGGCCATGCAGTAAAACACAGAAAAAAAAACATGCTTCATTTTCAAATGAGTGGCATAGACGTGACATGAACACTAAGGGAGAAGAGTTTACACGAGGTGATGGGAAACACAACTAATTTCATCACATTGCAAAATGTGTTCTTAGCATTTCAGAAGCCAGGAGCAATTGCTTTCTGCATTTTTTTCAAACAGCCATGCATTAATGCAAAGCAGGATTTTTTTTTTCACCCTGGATACAAATTCTTTTTATTTTTAAGTAAAAACTCACAATCTATCTGGGGAACGCAGTTTGATTTTCTTCATGATCATGTTTTAACACATAGCCATCTCCCAGCCAGATTCTTCTACCTCCACCCCCTTTAAATGGTTATTATATTGCAAGTTGGGTAAGGGAAAGAGTAGGAAATGAGAACAAAAGATCTAGGGAGCAAATCAAACAAAACCAGCAGTACATAGACAGAGCTATTCATATTTTAGAAGTACATACATATCTAGAGAAAAAGATACACATGACAACAACCAAAGAAAGAAAGAAAGAAAAATGTGACTAAGATTATGTGCTTATTTGCAGCCCAGTACAGCTCACAAGCATTTGGCCATCATTTGCGGTAATGGATTTTGAAGCAACTACAGATAAAAAAGGAAAGAAAAAAAAACAAAAGGAAAAAATAACAATGAAAGCAGAGTGGAAAAGGAGCAGAACCCATACCTTGATCGCCCATCATCAAGTGCGCCAGACCTTAAAGGGAAACAAGAGCACAGTCAGCAATGAACAAGGGTGCACGGGAAGGTGGTATCGTCACAGTGACAATTTTTTTTTTAACAACGGGCTTGTGTCTCCTGTGAGATGTTTGCATTGCGCTGGAAAATTAAAACAGCATTTTTCAACCACTGGTTGGAATGCTTTTGGAGGTGGGAGGGGGGCAGAAGGGCAGTCAGGCTGCTGTTCTAACACAGAGTAATGCTGCACTGTTCAATTTCTTTTCTAGGTATTGAAGTTGGGCTGAAGACAAAAATAGTAAGGAAATAATTTTAAGGTCAATGAATTCTCAAAATGCTTTGATCTTAATCTTATAAGTACGTTGATGGTACCATCTCCCTAGGAGGACACTTCGTCCACAGACTGTCAAGTAGTTTCAACTCCCCCTCCACCTTTCTAACCTTGAATTCTGTCAACCTGAGGAATGGGCTGGGTCTGTTCTTTTTCCCCTCATTGTAAATGAGCATTTCAAATAATTAAATGAAAGAATTTCTCTGTCACATTAAAATGAAAATGCAAGGGATGTTTCCTTATTTGTGTGAAATGTTCCAGCAGAAAAAAAATATGTTCCTTTGTAGCCAACATATTAGGCATCCAGTAGACAGAAGCATGTAACAACATACATGATAAATCAGGATAAAGAAAGAAAGAAACCACGCACAACCTCTTGGTATTAAGTACCTTCTCCAGTTTAACATAGATGGCACTTTAAGTACACTGAGGTTGAAATCCATTTCTTAATTAAGACTTTCTTTTTAAGATTTTAGAGACCTGCAATTGAAATAATTCTAGCCAAAGCAAGTTCTCCAACCCATTAAAAATAATTAGCAAAATAACCCCAAAGAAGTGATGTAGTTCCTCTAAAATAAATCTGAGATCGGTCTTCTTATGTCCCTTTAAGTAGATCTTTAATTTGGCTTTAGGAACAAATGGTAATGGCAATTAACATAAGGGGGAAAAATCCCTGAAGGCATCATTTGGAAACTAAATGAAAAACATACTTCTTTTCTTCTGGAAAAAGAAATGTGCCGTATTACACACTTGCTTTTTTTTTTTAAAAAAAAATGGTTCACACAAAGAAGGTGTGTAACAGAATATGTTAACTTTCATTAGAAGATAAGGACATAATACAATACTTTAGATTTGTAATTCACATTAGGCAGGCACACATAAAAGACATATAACACAATATCAAATGCTGGAAGAAATATTTTTAAAAAAAATGATACAGCAAGTGTTTACTATAGAAAATGTCCCTTCTGAATAGAACATACAAATAATTCAATTATGGCCTTCTTTTCAATTAATGTCTTATCTTGTATGTTTGTTTCAATACTCATCCTGTATGAACTGCTTAATAATAAGTTCAGTTTTATACAGTTTAGAGAAGATAAGTTGGAGTCCTCCTTCATGAATATATTCAAATGTAAGTTTCATTGTGTTCTGAGGAGCATACTCCAGATAAGTGAGGATTTCAGAATGGTAGTTCAGTCCTAAGTACATTTACTCATTAGAGGTGAGCAATTCAGCCAAAAGGCATGCTGTTTTGGAGTCTATTTTCAGCTACCCTGTAACTTACTGGGAAGTTACTCAAATCAGGGGGAGTGTTGCCATTTTCATTCAGCAAATATTTGGCCCATTGGCAACAATGGGAAAACTTTAAAGGCTCAATCCTCAGTCATTTTAAGGCCCATCTGCATGAAACCTACCTCGGTTTTAAACACCCATTAACAAATGCAGGCCTGCCAAGTTTCAGAACAATTCACCAATGTACTTATTTTTTAGAATTATTTTAAATTTTACCGTAACATTTTTAAAAAATAAGACAAACCACAAGAGATGGTTTTGGGAATTGTAGTCGCCAGTTGTGTCCATTCTCAGTCAATCAGAGCATGGACACAATGAAACCTTTTATTGGCTGAGAAACAGAGAGAGAGAGAGAGAAACTTCAATTTCCATCCTGAGTCCTCCTTCGGGGGTTGAGAAGTGACAGGATAGAAATAGGGTAAATAAATAAATCATGCTCCAAGAGGAACTCAGATACTATTCAATGCCCATGTAAGTGCTGCTGGGAAGACAAGTTCCCAGCAGGGACCTCCCTGGAGGAGGAGCCTAGGGAACATTTCTCCTGCTGGGGAGGGAGAAAAGATGCTGGAGGAACTGTTTCAGGCCCAAGACAATTACTCTTAAACATGCCTCATTGAGTTCAGTGGAATTTACCAACTCAGCTCTGTCTTGGATTTGGCCCTTTTAAGCTGAAGTAATGTCTACTTTCTTTCCTATGCAAATTTAAAGGATGAAAACTATACATACAAGATTCTCTAAAACAGAGTATCATCTCCTACTGATAATCTCCAAATTTAATTTGATTATTGAATGAGTGTATATTATAACATTAACTGTGTTGAGTTCTCAAATGCATGGTATCAAATAGAAACAAAGAAGGTATCCTGAAAATGTTTACCATACAAAACACTTTATTTTGTTGCATGGTGTGAGTTCTGAGAACAGAACCGGATTAACCTACTGTTTTACTAACTAGAGATTATTGTATGAAATAAGGGCAAATCAAAGGAAGAAACTGAGCTGGAGGAACCATTTATACCGCCTTTAGCTCTTTGGAGGAAAGGAGAGATATAAACATAATGGTAAATATATAACCTCTGTTTTTGTACATCACCGGCCCCCTTTGTGATCTTCCAGGGATCACAGACTTGCCTCAAAAAGCAACTTCCATTCATTCTTTAAAAGGGGGGTTATGCGCACCTAAGGAGATTTTTAAAAATTAATATTAATTTGTGTGTTTTAATTCCAGCAGTTCCAGTCTTTAACACTTTTCGCCAAAAGCTATTACAATTCAGCAGACTGTGCATGCATTTCAAAAAGTCCATACAGTGGCAAGAACTAGAATCATTAGTAGATTCAGAGAAATGGTTGCTTTAATGCAGTAATCTTTACTTATTACTTTGAAAAGCACAAGCGAAGGTGTATTTCAAAATAAAACAAAACTTCAAACAAATGAAGCTACAGAATTATTCTCTTTCATTGGATTAAATGAAACGAAACCATTCAAAATAAAATAAATTGAATTTGCTTGCTTTAAATGTAGTAGTTACGTTGGATCAAAATTTACTATGCATTGCATATAAGCAATGCAAGCAGGAGTTTCCATCTAGTAAAGTGGATGGAACAGGAACACTGATACTTGCATATTCCCATGAGAATGTATTACACACATACATATTTCATCTAGTTTTATGACAATTTCTATTCCGTACACAGTTGGCTAATTGAATGTTCCTTTTCTACTGAATTAGTAGTTTGATGATCACATAGAGGGCATGCCCTAAATAAGTAAATTTAGGAAACATCTGGATTAAATCTAAGTGTTGTGTCTGCTACAACAATTTGCCACATCCCTCATCATGACCACTTCTCTAATGTACTGAATGGAATGAGAAGGCAGAAAGCAAGATTCTTTCTATGACATTAGGACTGCAGTATTATTGGAGAACTTTCTGGCAGCATAATTCCTGATAATGGCAGATTCTGCTGGCTGCCGGATTTTCTTAACTATTCTGTCTTTTTTTGCATGTACAAAGATATAGCAGATAAATGCAGATATTAGGTTTCTAGCCTGGATTCAGAAAACTACTGCCATATAACCCAGAAGGTAAAACTGACTGAAAGTTCACTGCATGCTTTTTGCAGACCATGAACCATGGGTAGCCCACTGAACATACAATGTGGTCCTGAAATCCAAGCACCTGTATTTGTGTAGTACCATGATAAGTGAGTTCTAGAGCAAATCAAGCCTGAACTCTCCCTAGATGAGATATACTTTGGTCATATCATGAGGAAACATGACTCACTTGCAAAGACAATAATGCTCGCTGAGGCAAAAGGCTGCAGGAAATAAGGGGGCTGATTTCCAGATGCATAGACTCAATCAAGGAAACCAGGGATTTGCATCTGCAAGACCTAAGCAAGGCTATTGATGATAGAAGACTTGAAAGTCTCTTATGCATAGTATCATCATAAACCAAAGGCAACTTGATGGCATTTAATAACAATAAATGATAATGCATATATATTTGATAATCAAACTAATCAAGCTGGGCTCCTATATATACTTTAATGGGTCACAATTTATGCTGTAAATTAAATACTTCTCCTAAAACAAAGTGTGAAAAGTGCAGCCCTGGGACCATAAGGAGCCCCCGGGGTTGTTTTTGTGGACTATGACATAAATCTAATGACTAGACCCAGATAAAGTAGGTTCAGTGAATCTTTGAGATTTATATAAGCACTGTCTTATCAGTTGACAATTGATTCAGTGGATTTCACTAGTTGGAATTAACAATTAGAATTATGTCAATGAAGACTGTGACTCCATTGGGTGACCTTTGATTGGCAACAAAGGAGGACCCCTTTCCTGTAAGACTGCAGTTATTATAGTAGACCTTAAAGTGAAGTTTTTCTGCAATCCATCTGAAGATTAACCTAAAAAAATCCCCTTTTCAAAACCAGCATAGGATGTCTGTTTGAACAGTTTTCCTCCTTTCAGGGGGGCAACTTCAGAGATCTGAAGAGGAACAATATTGGATATTTACCCATTCAAAGGAGTCTAATATAACAGCAAAAACAAAAAGGGAGCCTGTGCAACCTAGTCCAAACAAACGGATGTATATATAAATCTGCACTGATGCTTTGGAATAGATTTTTGGATATTAATCTTCATACATTGCCTTTCAGCATGTGTTTGCAACTCATCGGCCAACACTAGGTTGTGTCTGTTTTTTAAATAATCTCCCCTTGCCCCCAAAGGGCCAATTCGTTTAAGAAAATGCTTGCTTAGTAAAGAGAGTTCTTAGTTGTTCTAATTAAAATGACTTCACAGGGCGTAGTGAAAGCACAGTGACACAGGTCACATGAACTGCTGATTCACGAAACACTTTTCCAATGGCTTTATTGCAATTTTGGAAGTCATTTCCTTTATTAAAACAATTTATGTAAATGGACATGTCTTCCTCTAGTATACATTGGAATATCAACCACAGTGACAAAAACTCTGGAAAAAAAGGCATAGAAAAAACGGTGGAGTTTGTTAGCTGCCTGGGAAAAATAAAATTGGCAATTGGCAACACATGGCTGATAAAAACCTACAACCAGAGCTGTGCTCATGGCTGCAATAGAAGTGTTTCTCTCTTTCCTTTTGGCACTTTCTGTGCCACCAAAATATCCACTCTGCAGTAGAGTATTCACATTGTTCCCAGATTAATAACTAGTTTTCTGACAGTGGAAAACCACATTGGGAAGAAAAATCCAACACGTAAGATTTTTTCATTTTTCTCCTGGCATTCAATATCCCAAATTGTGTGCAGAAATTGGTCCACTGAGGAAAACATACTGCATATACTCATGTATAAGTCAGCCCCATATATAGGTGAAGGTCAGGTTTTGGGGTCAACAATATCGATGTTTAAATGTCATATATGTTTATATGACATATGGATAAGTCAAGGGTTATTCTATAAAAAGGGGAAAGGGCCAGCATGCTTTAGGAGTTTTTTATGGGTCTTTAAAAAACCCAGAAGTGGTATCATGTCATGATTGAGAGAGCAGAGGAGGACGGAGCATCTTTTAGGTTCTCCAAGGATGAGCTAAGCTTTCACCATTCTATCCAGAGATGAGGATAGTTTCTTTCTAGTAAGAGTTAAGATATTGGCCACGATGTTGAGTATAATTTCAAGACTTCTGCATAAGTATATAGGATAGTTCTTGTGCAAATAATAAAACAAAAATGCTAGTTTTAACTGTAGAATAATTCCTAAATGTTGCTTTGGTATGTTCAAATATTGGGAGAGTACCCCAGAAAAGTATTTTTCCACTTGCTATGGAGATAAACCACAGCTATTTCATAGATATTTCTCCTCACATGAAATGATTAAATAGTTGTGGATTTCCATCTCTAGTCTGTAGGATTTGCCAAACCACTAAAGCACTTTTTGAGGGCATTTAGGGGTGACTGGAGGGCACAAAATTGCTTTCCTCACAATTTCATAGACAGAAGCGGTTAAAACAGCAGAAAAGTTCCACCCAATCCTGGGCAAGTTCTTTTCAACTTGATGGCACACAAATTGAGAAAGCCTAATCTAAAAGTCTAATGAAATGTCCATAAAAATGGGAGTAATAGACAAATATCAGCATGCTGTTGTTACCAAAATACATTCCTAAATTTATAGACACTCCAACAAATAATGGAAATACTTAATATAATTCAGGCTGGACAAGATTACATGTTAGTTTTGACTTAGGGCCCTTTGAGACAGGCCCTATATCCCAGGATCTGACCCCAGGTTTCTGCTTTAAACTGGATTATATGAGTCCACACTGCCAGATAATCTGGGATAAACAGAAAACCTGGGATAAAATCCTGGGATATAGGGCCTGCCTGGTAGGGCCCCTTGGGAGCTTTATTACACATACCATTTTTTCATGATGTATTTATGTCATCTGGAATTACTATTAGGCTTATAAACAGAAATGGCCTTGAGCACTAAGGGTCCATCTATACAGTAAAACTAATGCAGTTTGACACTACTCAATACTATAGAACATAGGAGTTATTGATTCACAAAGTCTTTAGCCTTCTCTGTCAAAGAATGTTGGTGCCTCACAAAACTTCAAATCCCAGAATTGCATAGAATTTAAACATACCAGCTACTTCTACAGTGTAGATGCTCTATTAGCCATGTCAACTCTCTTTCATGTTCCTGGTATAAATTATTTCCAGTGCCAATTAGTCCAATGAAACATGGGGACTAATGAATTTGAAATATCTAGCACTGGTAGATCATTCTTTTTGCCTCTCCTCTTCCTCATTCAGGTTAATAAAAAGGAATGAACGTATCTGTGCAATGAACTAATGGTATTGCAAGAGAGCCCTAACTTCCAGACACTGATCATAGTCCAAAGAACCACGCAGATGTTAAATCAATTATTGCAATGTTTGGCTATTTTATTCCTTTTTCTTTCATTAAAAAACCAATAATACAGGAAGCCCCTCAAAATATAATGCACAAAGGTAATTTGCAGTCAGCAGTCTGGACTGTCTGCTTGCAAGCATGGTTTGTCTTTTAAAAAATCACAAAAGAGTGATTAGCAGTTTTAGGAATAATGGTTGTGGTGATATTGATGTTACAAGATGATTTCTAATTTCAGTAGGTCATCAAAACTGTTTACAGTATAGCATGAGGAGTACTTTTAGGGGGGGAAATAGGTTAAAACTCTGCTGGACATTTTAAAAAGCCCTTATGCACATCTAGAGGAGCTTATTGGATCAATGCCAAAGTTTGTAATCTGACATAATAGCCCTTAGTAGATCTGCATAATTAAAAAAGGTAAATCATCAGCAAATTTCACAAGTTTGCCAACTTAAAACACAGTCAGTAAATCAGGCCAACAAATTGTACAACACAAATATGTACATTTGAGGTTCTTCTACCTCTCTTTTCCTTTGTGAGTCATTCTTAGTGCAATAACACTGACCATTAAAATGGCTTCAGTTCTCCTAGATAAAACCAAGAGATTCTTCTGATTATAATGGTGAATTTGAAAGCACACAACCATGTTGACAAGTCAACATTCCCAGCAGAAAAGAAGAAAATCAACTTACCGTCTTTAATGACAAGATGTACCCATATAAACATTAATCAGGAGGCAAAACACTAAATAGAAGGGATAGGAAGGGGAAGAAAATAGCTTAGGGAAATAAGAAAGCACCCACCTTCCACATGGTTGTCTTCTGAAAGCACATAACAAGGAGGGAGAGAAAAGGGAAAAAGAAAACATTCATTAAGCAGCATGCAGACTGGAACTTGCCTTTGCATGTGAGCACCATGCAAGGCACCAAACACCACATGCAAGTGATCCATTGCTAATATTCAAAAAAAGGGAGTGGGTAGGGGAGACCAAAAGCACAGGGGAGCAGTGTTTCTTCTGTTAAAATGTGGTGGGGGGGGGAGGGGAATCTTGTTTCTTTGCAAGATATGAAACAAAAATAGCTGCCATTTCTTAAATGAAAGGGGGTTCTGTTTGAAAAATGGACCTGTGAGATAACTCAAAGTCATCCATCAGAAGTTGCTGGATTAGTAAATGGTTTCCAAAAGTGCAATGGGTGTGTCAAGTGGATACTTTCTAAAAAAAAGAAAGAAAGAAAACCAAGAGAAAGAAAAAGGTGCTAAAAGTCGAGCCCTGTACCTTATATCCCACATAAGTGGGAGACTGATTGGGGTTTTTCATTTGGGAAAAAATAAAACGTCTATGGAGGATAAAGTTCTTATTTCAAACACCCTCATATACTCAAAGCATATCTAACCAACTTTGTCATCTTTACAGCACACACACAAAACATACTAAGCTAAACCTAACTGGCTCTAAACCAATCTGAATCTGTTACAAGAGCCAGACGTAACAGAAGTCTCTTTTCAAACCATTTATCTTTTTGCTATGAACATCATAAATTCTGAAACATACAGGTAGGTTTCCAGTAAATTAAAAGTGTAGGAAGCAATCGAGCTTTAAATAGAAAAGGAAGAAAAGTAATAAAAGTAGCACCCTGAAAAAAAACATCCTTGGGAACCTCTATCTAGATCAAATTAAGCCATGTTCTGATATAGGCAAAGGATATATTCCTGGCCAGAACATGGTTTCTTGAAACCATTGAAAATACCAAATGCCATTAGATTAGCTGACTTCTGGTCACAGCATACAACAGATTTGCACTGGAGAACCTACAAATTAAATTGAGCTCATAGAGTTGCTACACTAGGGAATCCTTAGTTTAGCAACAACTCTGCAAGTTCATTTTGGTTTTATCCTGGTTTAGTGAATATGGCATCCCCCACTTCCACCCTAAGCATGAGACTTGTACCCTGGTGAAGATGCTGAGAATTCACTACTAGAGAAGTCTAATATTACCCTCACAAAACTCCATGACTGATTGGACCTATGAAAGAAATGAGATCCAACTAGCTTGCATCTCTCATTAAGATATACCATGTAAGCTGTTTTCATCCTTTGGTGCTTTCATAAATAGAGATGCCATTGCAATGACCAGACAAAGAACATGACAATTGAAGGCATCTATTTCATAGTGCTACAAAGGAAGGAGTTTCAACAGGCCACATAAGTCCTACTTGTTCATATCTACTAAGAATCCAAATGTCCAGGTTTGTGTAGATTCCTTGCACCTTGACCTCTGGTGGACCTTCTCCTATATCAGTCACCAGGCCAGGAGATTAGTGCATTTACTTGAATCTAATGCTCATCCTTTTTGGCCAAATTACATTCCCCAAAGTTAGAGTGTGCATTAGATTTGTGTAATATGGTAATTTTAGTGTTGAAACAAACTAGCACCTGGAGCTCCAATTTGAGGGACAACATCTCTAATGTAATTGTCAAGGCTTGATGCTATGCAATGCTGGTATTTATAGTTTGACGATGCATCAGCATTCTTTGGTAGTCCCTATGATCACAAACTACAGCCCCCATGTCCCAATTGAGCAAGGGCAATTAAAGTGCATTCACTCTGCAGCATAGATGCACCCCAATGTTTTCTTTTCCATTGCTGGAACCTTTGATATCCTAACATTTTGTTTTTAAAGAAGGATTTCAAAGCAGGCAGCACATCTGTTTTGGACAAGTGACAAAGAATGCATATTTTTTGCCACTGTGCATTACATTTCCAAGCAAATACTTTTTTTGGTTTCAGGTTTTTGAAAATTGAAGTGTGCATTAGATTTGATGGCCCATTAGACTTGAGTAAATACGGTTTCTACTGCCAATAAGCAGTAGCTAAAAGCCACCATTGTTATTTTTCACATAATGTGTTTAAGGCAGTAACATGTCTTTGCTCTATGCATGGGATAAAAAAATCAGCTTGTTTTTCTTAGTGGGTTGTTGTAGGTTTTTTCAGGCTATATGGCCATGTTCAAGAGGCATTCTCTCCTGACGTTTCGTTTTGTTTTTTTCTTAATTTTTGCATGATTTTACATTATTATTACTTTTCAGATTTGAATACTTTGTGCAAAAAGAAAACCTGCAAGGATTTTAATTCATGAAATATGTCACCTGTTGATTTATAAAGACCCTATGAATTTCACAGAGTATTCCTAGACATTGAATACTTAGAGATGGTTTCTCATTTCCTACTTCTGAATTATAGCCTAGAATAGCTGGCATTTCTTGGCAGTCCCCCATCTCAGCATGAAAAGGATTTGACCATTCTCAGCTTCCTAGATCAGATGGTATCCCTTTAGGGCAGAGTTTCTCAAACTGTACTCCTCCAAATGTTTTGGACTTCAACTACCACAATTCCTAACAGCTGGTAAGCTGGCTGGTATTTCTGAGAGCTGAAGTTCAAAACACTTGGAGGAACACAGTTTAAGAAACACTGCCTTGGGGTGGTCAGGCTGGTAAAAATATCACATTATGCTTTGCAGAAGAAACCCACTTATGCAAATGTGTATCAAAAAATATTTTTGCATTGAAAAACCATCATTTTTGTACAAAACTACCACCTTTTTTACTGTTGCTTCTGCTGACAATGGAAAAGGAGGTTGGACTCAATGACCTTTGTGGTCTCTTCCAACTTTATCATTCTATGCACAATGGCAAAAATATCAGAATGGTGGACTTTTTTCCTCTATGAATCTCAAAATACTCTTTCCCATTAAAGATAAAAATATTATTTCTATCCTTACCCTGAAACAGAAGTATCTGGCCACTCCATGAAACCAAGGGTACATTAAGCTCCATGACCCTTTCTTATGTCTTAATGGCCAATAAAGGGTAATAAATACTAGTGAGAGGCTTAACAGAATCACAGACTTTTTCTGAACTCTGGGTAGGCAAAATACAAACTGGTTTGCATGTGGCCCACAATGATATTTTTGTTACCCCATGCCCACCCCAATTTTTGGATGTATCTTTTAACTTGAAATACTCCAAATCCTTTTAGTGTTGGGGAGGGGGGAGAACTATTTGGGACCTTAAGAGGCCATTTTTAAAATCCAGATCGAACATATGGCTCACTTCCTGGCTTAAACGCTCAGGCTACCAAAGGCTACCAGAAATTAGAAAAAAATGTTCCATATCCTTTAGAAAGGATTGGCGATATCAATAAACAAAATGTTCAAAGATGGAGATAGTATGAGGCAAATATAGCTTTTTGAGATCAGTGAGCAAGGTGTGTGACCCCTGGAACCCAGTCAGTTGTCTATCTCTGCTCTAGCCTATCCATTTTTTTTTCCATGATGGAAGTTCTGTTTTTATTATCTGCATGTAAAAAGTTCAACAGCTGAAATACTTTCTGTCCATGTTAAAACTAAGAGTTTTTCTCTATATATCATAAACTAGTTAGAAGTGCTACTGACTACTAATTACTTTACTTCTTTCTTATTCCTTAGATGTTTTGATGACCGTAGTTCCAGTAAACAGGACAAAATTGTGAAGATCATTAGTACAAATGAACAACAACTACAGAATTATTCCTAATTATATTAACTAACCACACACAGTCTGACATTTCACACCAACATTATTCATTTCTCCCCATTCAAAATCAATACTAGTCTTTATGACTTAAAATAACTTGGAGCTTATTAAAAATAGGGGGCAATAATTCAAATAAAATACAAATCCAGCATAGTTTACCCATGAATATTTTATATGATTAGAGTAAAACTATGCCAAGTTTTAAAGAGCATGGATGAAGACACTTAAACCTGAATAAATTGGTTGAAGATGGGCAAATCATTCACACAAACATTCCTGAGTGTTTGCCTTTCAGAAGCAACCATTGCTGAAAGCCATCAAATGTATTTCTGGGCCAAGAAAATAATCAGGAAAATAGTGGTTTCACTTATATAGCCTATGCAAGAAAGCTACATTGGAACCTGAGAGCAACTGATGGAAGGAGCTGACAGAAAATTAAATTGCCTTCCATCTGGAAATCTATGCCCTCAATGTGAAAGACCATGTGGATCCATAATAGGTCTCTGCAGTCACTTATGGACCCACCAATAAGACGCACCAACTTATGGACCCACCGACAATCATACAAGTGATGCCCTATGATGACTCAAAGCATAGAAAGGTAGAATAGATGACTTTGATTTTTGTCCTAATTAATCCACAAAGAGGCAAGGCCAGAAGTCCATTGGCTGTGATGATTTGAGCTTCATTGTGTTTTCCTGCATGACAGTAGGTTAGACGGGATGGTCCTTGTAGGATTTTCTAACTTTACAATTCTATAATGCTATCCAGGCAATGATAGCTACTAAGTCCAATATATATAATATGCTTCCTTGTATTTTGACATTTGAAGCTGAGTGCTGGATGCTACTTTAGAGCCCTTCTACACAGGCCTCAATTCCAGGAGGATCATGCATATTTTATCCATGTTCCTCCCACGATTGAGGCCCCACACTCACCCCAAATGCCAGGCTTTCCAGGGGGATAGGTGGCCACATTCCCTCCTGGGTCAACCAGAGGATTTCCTTCCTCCTCCTCCCCCCCCCCCAACCTCTCAGTACCTCATTTTCACATGCCAAAAACTTTCACCTGAAGATGCAGCCAGACCCCTCAAGTAAGATTTTGAGGTAAATGGGGGGGGGGCTAGGAGGGGAGAGTGGGTGTGCCATCCTGCTCCTTTGAGATCTTGTAGCCTAAAGAACCAGGATCGCAGTGGGGATTGACCCAGAGGATGGTGGAAGCAGTCTGGATTCAGGTCTGGATCTTTCC